TGATATGGAACCCCAATTATTAGGTTCATTCCGATAAATTGGATTCTGTACAAAAACATTTTTTACTTTTTGCGTTAAGACATCCCAATTGAAACTCCACAATGAATCTTCCTCCATATACCAACCGTTTAAAGCTTCTAAATCTGCCTATTCTCGCAAGTCGTAGATAAACACTGTTCGGAGTGAGGTAATCTGTAATTGTTATATGTATGTATTTATATTTTACGTAGAGCGATAAGGTCAAATTGCATTTAAGTGACCCCTGTGAACGCGCGTGTCCATACCGATCAGAAAAATCGGTACAAAAGTAAGGTTATCAGTATTCGTTATTTACATACATATTTATATCCACCAAAAAAAAAAAACTGGAGAAGGATTCTCACCCTTGGTGGTCGCACCAGTAGAAAAGGGGGTAGCTTCAAATTTAATAACTAAAACCGTATCTTCCGAGCGAAGATTTTTGTCTATTACTGGGGGTACCCCCAGTACTGAGCAATCGCTTTAAAGGTAAAATCGATTAGATTTCTAGTCGATAGCCAAATGCAAATAATACAGTAATTGAGTTTGGAGGGTTGTTATCTTAAAAAAAACGAAAGAAGTGCAAAAAAATTAAATTATACTTATTGTATTAATATTTAAAAAAAAAATTACTGGAATAAATATGGTAAATAGATTTTAAGAGTGTGTCAACAAACCTCCAAATTTCATGATAACAGTCATTATCATTGTAATTTATTATTCAATCAGTTACTATCATGACTTTCAATTTATTGCAGTAACAATAATATGGTTGTCAAATATCTCCCTTCCGCTTTTTTGCTCTCCATTCAATGCTTTATAAAAAGTGTTACAGTGATCGGATTTAGTTAAAATATGCGCCGTTTTGTTCGATGATCTGTTTCCATCTAGACGGCAACTTCATAATACCTTCCTCGTAGAAGCCCCCCTCCTTATTTGCGAAGAATTCGGACAGCCACTTTTCACAAGCCTCTTTTGAGTTCAACTTCACACCACCAAGGGCATTCGCCATGGACAGGAACAGGTGGTAATCACTTGGCGCTACGTCCGGGCTATATGGTGGATGCGATAAAACCTCCCATCCGAGCTCCCGTAGCTTCTGACGAGTCATCAACGAAGTGTGTGGTCTGGCGTTGTCCTGGTGGAACACTACACCCTTCCTGTTGGCCAATTCTGGACGCTTCTGGTCGATCGCCTGCTTCGAGCGGTCCAGTTGTTCGCAGTAGATGGTAGAATTAAGCGTCTGGCCATATGGGAGCAGCTCATAGTGGATGATTTCCTTCCAATCCCACCAAACACACAGCAAAACCTTCCTGGCCGTCAATCCCGGCTTGGCCACTATTTGGGACGATTCATTGGCCTTCGACCACGACCGTTTCGCTTGATATTGTCGTATGTGACCCATTTTTCGTCGCCAGTCACTATCCGCTTCAAGAATGGGTCGAGTTCGTTCCGTTTCAGCAGCATATCGCAGGCGTTGATTCGGTCCAGAAGGTTTTTTTGCGTCAAATTATGCGGTACCCAAACATCAAACTTTTTTTTTGTATCCAGCCTTCTGCAGATGGTTCAAAATGGTTTGGTGACTAACTCCCATCTCCTGACTAACTCCCGATGTCACGAGATGCCATATGCCGGAATAACTCGATGTATTCCATGATTTGATAGGTATTTGTCGTCACAGGTCTTCCGCCAGCTGGCTTATCCATGGTGTCGTTTTCACCGGCTCTGAATCATCGAAACCATTCCTCCGCGGTTCGAAGTGATAGAGTACCATCCCCCAAAACACCATTAATCTCACGGAACGTTTCTCTAGCGGATTTGCCTTTAACGAAGGAAAACTTTAAAATAGTGCGAATTTCGGCGTTAGTGAACTCCATGTTTACACGCCTATAACTGTTGAACGCAATATCCATAGCGTTGTTTTGTAGGTTATGTCAAGATCTTTAAAATTTTGTATAGTGTTCCCAGATACGAGCTCTGTAGCGCTTTGTACATAGCCACGAAATTCAAAAGACAAAAAAGCGCATATTTGAAAACCTAATATTAAGTAAATACAAAGTAGTAAGTGGTAGTAAAGCAATAACACCGTTAGAATTAATATTTAAAAAGGTTTTATTTAAATAAATATAATTGGCATTTTGTAACTGAAGCTGAAGTGATTTTCGGCCGAGCTCCTCCTCCAATTTGTTGTTTTGGATCTTGATATTTTTCCATTAAATGGGGGGACCCGCAGTTTATACTAAGCCGCCTCCGAACGACTAATGGGTTTTTTATTAGCAGCTTTATTTCATGTCAGAACTACACTGGGAGTGGTTGACATTCTCTACCGATGGGCGATCGCAATTGAAAAATTTAACTTATTTTTTTATTTAAATAAATTTTCTATGACTTTTGGATGTTGGTAGTACCAGAATTTGAGCCCGGGCCTTCCGAATGAAAGTACGCACTGCTAGCCACTCGTCTATGTCTGTATTTGGGTATTAATAAATAAACGAATCAGAGATGGGAACACATCATGTACGCCCTGTTTTGGGTTTTTGGTCTCCAATAGTTTTGACGACAATTAGATCTTTTTGTAGGCGGCCGTAACAGGCGCGTGGTTAGTAATTCGTACCATCGTTCGAATGACCACGATTCCGACCAACATTCAAAAAAAATATTTTAAAAATGGTAGAAAATTATTTTCCTTTATAGAAATCCATTAGCCGCTCGGAAGTGGCTAAGAATAAACTTTAGTTCCCTCAATTTGTTGGGAAAATATCAACCCGCACACCAGAGTCTGCACCAAATAGCGTGGAATAAGTCTCCTCAGTATTGCATATCAGATCTTTTCCGGCGTGGTGTGCGAAAGACCGTCAACAAACCAATTTGACCTTATATCAGTTTGGCTCAGACCTATTAAATCCACTATTGAACAGATGCGCCAAGCCTTCATCGATTTTAAAGTGGCCTTCGACAGCACGATGCTCAGCTGCCTTTATGACGCATTGTCTGAATTCGGTATCCTTGCAAAACTTATATGGCAGTGTAAACTAACGCTAATCAACAGCAAAACCGCCATCATGATCGGAAAGGACTTCTCCCAGCCGTTCGATACCAAACGAGGTTTTATACAACGTGATTCCTTATCGTGTGACTTTTTGAATTTATTGCTGTAGAAAGTAAAAGAAGCTGAATAGAGAAGGTACACTTCTTCTATATTGATATCATTGACGTCAAAACTTGCGCTAAGAGCTCTGCAGAGGACGAGACGGATTATCTCCTGTCATTAAACAAACAGTCAACGCATTCGCGACTCAGTTCCCACGTTACTGTTGACAGTCTTAACATTGAGGTCGTAGAGCATTAACACCAAAAGCAAAGTCAGCTTTGAAATCGAAAGCAGACTCACACTTGTCAGCAGGTACTACCTTGGACTGAGCATACAAAGACCAAACTCTATAAGTCACTCATCATTATCGTTCCACTATATGGTGCGTAGGCATGGAAGAGGACATAATCTATTGATGGCGTTAGGAGTTTTTGAAAGAAAGATTTTGCATGATTCTCTGCGCGTTGGCAACGGCAAATACCTCAGTTGGTAGAACGATGACCTGTGCGAGGTGTACAACGCCACCAGCGAATCAAAAATGGCTACACTGGCTAGATTATGTGCTCCGGATGGATAAGAAGGCTTTCGAATCAGTACACGCCGCAGAAAGCAGATGAATAGGAAGATCCCCACTCCGTTGGAAAGACAACGTGAAGAAGGACTTGGTGGTACAAACAACGGAAAGAAGAAATTAATGCTGCGCATACTACAAATAGAAGGCGAAGTTCAATTCAGCCGGACCAGTATTGATCAAAGTGCGTGATAAGCACTACCTTGACAAAGGTCTTAATCGTCATGCCTAACATCAGGCCTCAAACTCAGGTATTCAACTCTGTATTACTAATAAAAATTGTGGGTTTTAATGAAGATATAGAATGGACAACCACTTTAATAAGGATTTTGCTATTAAAGTAATTATCGAGCTGCCTCGAGACTCCCGCGTAGTACCGGCGCAATCTAAATATGGATATTGTAGTATACTAAGCTCCTATCTAGCGTATGTCCTGCATCATTCCTAAAACCAACTCATCCCGTTAGATGACCTCGATGACTTAGACTGATCTTACTTACTCCTAAGTGAGGCTGGCGCACCTCTACAACAAAAAAACAACAACAACAACACCAACTCCATCCATATCAATAGATCCAACTAACACCTTTTGCGGAAGAGGGGCTCATGCTACCTTATAAAACTTACATAATCTTGGCGTAACAAACGTGTTGCTATTGCTGGAGGTTAACCTCTTACCTAGCTATACTCGGACCCGACGTACCTAAGGATGGGATATATGATATGAATATAGCTCTTTGCATGCGGTCTCAAATCAGCGCATATATCGCTCTTTTCCTAACGGTCGAATATATAGCAGCAACGAATCTCCTGATCTCGCTGACGGTAAAAGGCTCTGCATGCGGTTGTTGTTGTTGTTTTTTTTGTAATCGCAAAAATATTCCCCAAGTACTTTTTGGGGAATGTTGCGAGAGTGACACTCCTTGGCCGGATAAAAGTCCGAGTAGTACCGATACAAAGAGCCGACTGTCGAGGGAGCTATTCGATTTTAGTCGCCCCTTACGACAGGCATGCCTTACCGTGGGTAAATTATTGAACCCCTAACCCGCATGCGGTTCTGAGTGATAAATTTCCAATATAAAATATTCGTTAAAGGGCGTGCGCGCTGTTGAGGTAAACTAATCTAGTATTCCTTTACACAGAAATAACTCAGTAGATAGCTCAAATTCTGACTAGCCCAAGATTCCTTAGGCAGGGAATGTCAACTTTTCCCGAGAGCATTCAAAAGCGATGCGGAGAAAACTGAAAGGAAACCCACAAGCCTCACACAACAAACTTGAAGGAAAAGCTTCAACAAAAAAAAAACCTAAAATCAATTTCTTTATTTATTTAATGAATTTTTTTTTTTTTATTAAATCAAAATTACTCCTCAGTATTTTCATGTAGATATTTCTGACACAAAATGATATATATATTTGTATATGTATCTATATATGCACGTCTCAATCCGCATGCATCGAATCTCAATCGTCCTTAAAGGACACCTTGCTAAATTTCTCTTCAATATCATTGACACGACAACGCACCTCAGGGGTTGGATCCTTTTGGAAATTTGCAAGATTTTCTTCAAAAGCAGTTTTCACAAGCGTTAGATTTTTCAAATCTTTAGCATCTGTTAAACGTTTAATGAGCACTAAAACAATGTTGAGAGATTCTTTCTTGAGACCGGTATGTGGTAGAGCTACGGTTGTGAAGAAGAAATATTGACAATTATCATATAAGAATTATTTTGAAATTTCACTTCCAGCCACTCACCAGATGCATATATGACCGCCGATAATACTTCATTGCAGATTTTCTCCACAATCACATCACGCGACCCGCCATTATCAATTTTAAATTTCTTCTCTTGGTTGCCCTCCTCCACGGGCGGTGCACTATCGCTGGCGAAGACACATAAACGCTCAACGAACTTGCAGAGCGCGCCGAGTAGACTCACCTGCACGGGGCGTGTACTACTGCGCAAGCACAATAAGCTGCGTTCGACAAATTGCATTTGATATTTGTATTGTGTTGCGACACCATGTTTGGGCCATGATTTGCCCAATGTCTCGCAGACTGTCTCTTTTAATTTGTTGAAAATCGTAGCGCGTTTATTACGTTCATCAGCTGTTAAAGTCTTCTCTGGCGCAATATCGCTCTCCTCTTTGCGTAATTCCTTCTCTTCGAGTAAATACCAAATCATATTGTAGACCTATTGCGTTAAAGTGATGTAATTAAGGTGTTTTTATGTGTGTGAGTATCAAACAAACCTCTTCAAAGCGATCCACCTCCAACTCCTCTAATATATCACCCAACGCTTGCAGTGCCAAGGTACGATATTGTGGATCCTCTTTGCGACACTCACGCATGGCTGCATCCACTATGCGCACTGTAATCTCATGATGACGATCAAGTCCTTTGCAGAGTGCTGCCAAAGCGTGCAGTAGACGTTCTTTACCCTTGAAAGTGCGACCCTGCAATTCGCTTAGAAGCAAATTAATTAAACGCATGCGGTCGCCCTCTTCAATGGTGCCGCTTAAGCGCATAGCGATTGTGTGTATGGCATTGCCGGCTTGCGTCTTACGCAACCAGCTAGCCTCATCCAGTGATTTCTCCAATTTCGGTATGATCACATGTAAATTCATGCGTATGCCGGCATCACCGGGACTAATCTCATTCCAGAGTTCTTTCCACAACTCGATATTCGATTTGTTTTCATCATTAGGTTCTTCGTGTTTGGCAAAGAACGTGAGTGGCAATACATCATCCAGGTAGTCTTTTAATAAATCATTATGACGCTTATTGATCGCCTGTATTGTGAGCGGAACAGAACGATTTGCGCAGTTTTCCATATACAATTCATCAAGTTTGACAAACAAATTCTTAATGGATTTTTCCTATGGATTTACAGTATGAGTATGAAAGTGTTTAACGAACTTTAGGCATTTTTATGATATAACTCACCTTTGCTATGCCCACCAAATGGCCCACTGCATTCGCATAGTATTTACGTACGGTGGCATTGTGATCTTTTAAGCCCACAAAGCAGGCAGCGAGGTATTTGCCTACCAACGGTGACATTTCTTTACCAACACGTATGCTTATCTACAATTTTTTTGTGTGTGCATTAAATAAGAACGATTAAATAATTAAGAAAAGAAAAAAACAATTATATGGATTATAAAATATTGTTCATTAACCCACCAAACAAACGAAATGCGCACAAGCAATCTTTGTGCCTAATATAATATTCGTTTTAATTAATTCCAAAACACTGGGGGTCATCTCTTCGAGCACTTTGAAGTCAATGTAACGCATGCACTACAATGAAGGACAACATTTTTATATATATATATTTTCAATTTGCATATTTTTAAAACATACAAACCTTCGATATCGATTCCATTGTGTGATGTGATTTAGCTGCCTCGGCGCGCACTGTATCCACAGCTTCTTGCGCTTCATTATCAGCACCCAGTCGTGTTGATAAATATGATAACTTTGAACTTTCTACTTCGCCGGTGGCCTTCAATAGACATGGTATAAGCATGGGCAGATGTGGCGCAATCAGTGAACCTGATGAGTCAATCATTTCGGAAATTGTACGTATGCTGACTTTACGTATATCAGCAACGGTGTGTGTGACGCCGGTTTGTAGTAGTAATGGTAAAATAGAGGAAGCAACGGCCAGACCGGATTTGCCGTGATCTGAGGAGGCAGCCGAAACGCAGAGCTAAAGTGAGAAATGAAGCAAGAAAAGAACTTTAAAATAAAATATATAATAATAAGTGAGGTCTTCGACTAGCGCATCCATCTAAAAAGAATGAAAAACTCTATATTTAAGTTTAAAAAAGAAATGTTTGCTTTAAATGCAGTATCAAGTGAATTTGTGATCTGACTTGGTGTTTATAATCTTTGTTCGAAACTGCGCTGCTATTTCGACGACCTTTCCAGCTTCTTCACAGCAGGACAACTACAACTACTACCAGCCAAATCCTCGAATTTCATTTCTACCAGCTGAATGAAGACGTACCAGCTCGAAGTGGTTGTGAAAGTAGATAATATCGGAATTCCGATAATAAATAAAAGAGAGTTACTGTCATTCACAGTCGAAATCGCTAGTGGGCCGGTCCAACCCTGCACTAATGATCGTTACCGGTAAACATCTTGTGTGCCACCAGAGTCTCACTTGCACAGCGAGGCAGAGAGCGCCCTAACAGACCTTTACTTGAAGCCGAGCCACCACCTAAGCATATTAGGAAGGGAGTACTTGACTACAGGGACTGCATTCTCCACTATGTACAAGAACCGTTGGGCACAAGCTTTAAACGCCATTCAACGAGAGTCCGTTAACACTTCGAACTGTCTTCCAGTGAACGGCATTCTCGGCAAGTCAAACCATTAGAGACGAAGAGCTCGAGCTGCCTTGAGAGTCACAAGTAATACTACTGACACAATTAAGATCTGGATATTGTAGTCGACTAAATTTCTACTTATCCAGACTTGACACCGACATACTCAACGTATGCCTGCATACAATGAGTCCCCGCATGACAGCGACCACCTCTTAACATGTCCCTTAAAACCTACTCATCTAACCAACTTTGCCACTTTGAGCCGAGCCCGTCGAAGCAGTTCGTTTTCTGTACCTCCAGTTGGGTTATCCCTTAACGCCATTCACAAAGAGTTAAGTTAACTGTTTTATAAGCTCTCTTTCCGTTACAGAAGCCAACCAACCAGTCCGAGTTGCCTCACGAGATCCAAGTAATACTACCACATTTAAGGAGTGAATATTTATGGCCGGCCTCATTTTTCACCTCTCCCGACACGGCTCCGACATACCCAACGGATATACTGCATGCAAAGAGTATCTTACTTTCTCTCTGCTTTGGTTCAAACCCATTCGAAGCAATTCTTGGATACGTCTCGCTAAATTTACTGCTCCTGGGCGGGGTTTAGTTAGCAACTACAATAACAACAAAAGAGCTGCGGGTTAGGGGTTCAAGAATTTGTCGGGCCTTATACCGGAAAACCCCGGATTTTGATTGGGCCAGGAGCTGTCACTCTCGCACTATTCACCGAAAACCAATTTGAGAAATATTTTCGTGATTACTACCACAATAATAACAACAAGTAACCGACTTGCGGGTTAACGATTCAAGAAATTACCAGCCAAATACAGAGATTCAGAAGTTCAACAGGACAGTCGGGCTTTTATAGCAGAACAAGACGGATTTTTAGGTGGTCAAGGACGGACTTATTTAATATGGTTTTTTTTTTAACTTGCCTTGCTCAAAAACATAACAGATCCTTGGGCTGCCAAGCGCGTGCCCTCGTGTATATCATCCATAACACGAAACAATTGAGCCCACAATTCCTGCAACTCAGGCTCGGGTATTTCATCTGTAAGCATAAAAAATGTTGTTGTAAATGAATTATTATAAAAGGAAAAATCGTTTAAAATACATAAAAATAATTATTAATTAAAATTATTTTTAATTTTTTTTTATTTATTTTATACGTAAAATATGAAATTTATTTTTATATTATATTAATATATATATTAAGAGCGTAAGTGAAAAATTGTAAATTACGATATACAAATTTAAACGAAGTCTATAATTTAAATTTAAATTTAATTTCTTTGTAATTAAAAAAAAAAAAAAAAACAATTAAAAGAGTCAAGGATAAAATCAATTAATAAAATGGTTAAGTTAGAAAAATAAAATAAATAATACAAATTTATGAATTAAACACTAATAATTAAAATGAATTCCAAAAAAAAATTCAGTTTTAAAAATAAAAGATAGAGAAAATATTAAAATTTTAAAAATTAAAAATAATTATATAAAATGAAGATCAAATAAAACAATTATTAAAAAAAAAAAAAGATATTACAAATTTCCAACTTCAAAATACTCACCCACTTCCATAGGCGTACTTTTGTCTGTCTCCTTCCCATCTTTACTCTGCTTTATTGCCTCCAATTTCTTCTCATCACTGCGCAAACGTAAACCATTTGGTCGTTTCAACAAATCACGTACTGCCAAACAGCAAGCAATGCGCACACGCCACTCAGTAAATGTTAAATTATCCAAGATTTCTTTTAAAATTTCCCAATAATACTTTTCAACCGCCTCCTTCGGATCACTCACCACCGAATCCCAAATTGAAATCATTGAATTTTGTATTTTCGGTGTGGGATCATACTTATAACGATACAAACGTGGTATAATCTTGCCAAGGTAGGGTTGCATTTTAGCTTTAGAATCAGCACTGAGAGATTTTAAGCCGAATGCAGCACCTAATTTACTAGTCCAGGCGGCATTATGATTGGCCAATTGCATGAATTGATAAACCATTTCGGGTTGATTGAGATCGGAAGCGAGCGAACAGAGTTCTTTGTATGTAGTAATGTTGCCACTGAGAATGTAAAGAATGTATGTATAAGTTCAACTTTAATAAAATATTTGAATAGTAAAATGCCTTACCCGGTTGGTGTTTTGCCCAGCATGCCTTCGGCGAACAGTTCCGTATCTTCGCTGACTTTATTCACCTGTCTCTTGCCGCCAATCAATTGATCAAGAAGTGAATTTGCTAAATCATTTTGACTATCAGCATCAGATAATGTGTAGACGAGTCCCAAGCCACGCGAGGCAACATCTTGTACAAATTCTATGAACGAAATAAATTCCATTAATAAATAAATGAGCACGAGGTGCGTTTTGTTTAAAACTTACCGCTATCATCGGAGAGCAATTCGGTGAATGCAAATTGCAGTATTTGTTTATTTTTAAGCACAGCAGGGCGGTGACTGCAACTTTTAATCAAAGCCAGTAACCAAACCGCTGAGGCCTGTGAAGGCGGAAATGAAAGAGAAAATTAAAAAAATGTATAGAACAAATAAAACATTAAATAAATGATTATAAACAAAATAAATAAAATAGAAAAATATCACAAAAATGTTTCAAACAAAAAAAATTAATGACAGGTTTGCAAAAAAATAAAAACAAAATAAAAAAAAAAAAAATATTAATAAAAAATAAAATAAAAAAAAAATATTAATAAAAAGTAAAATAAAAAATTAAATATTAATAAAAAAATAGAAATAAAATGAATAAAATTAAATAAAAACCAAAGAGATAACAAAAAAATTTTATAGAAAATAAAACAATTTAATTTAAAAAATATAAAAAATTAAATATAAATAATATTTCATAGTTTATAATACATTAAAATTATAAAAAAAATAATGGAAAAAATATATTAAAAATTAATAACACAATAAAATATAAATAAGAAATTACTAACAAATAAAATTCAAAATAACAAAAAAATTAAATAACAAGAAATATTAAAAAATAACAATAAATTAAATGGAAAATTTTAACACAATGTAATTTAAAAATTATAAGATATATGATAAATATAAATAAAGAAATAAATGCAATAAAAAATAAATAAAAATAAAGAAAAAACAAAAAAAATTACAAAAAAATTTATAGAAAATAATAACACAATATAAGAATTAAAAACTAAATACATAAAAAAAATCTAAAATATAAATACCTTAGAAATATAACAAAAATAAATGGAAAAAATATATAACAAAATATATAAAAAAATCAATAACAAAAAAATAAAGAACATAAAATTAAATAGAAAATAACAATACAATATAAATTAAAAAATATAAGAATTTAAAAATATATAAATGAAAAAATAAATACCTTACAAACATAACAAAAATAAATGGAAAAAATAAATAACAAAAAAAATAAAGAACAGAAAATTAAATAGAAAATAATAATACAATATAAATTAAAATATATAAGAATTAAAAAACATATAAATAAAAAAATAAATACCTTCCAAAATAACAAAAATAAATGGAAAAAATAAATAACAAAAAAATAAAGAAAATTTGGTTTCAACAACTCAATTTCATAACGCTCTTACCTGCCGCGAATGCACATTTGGCTCTGGCACCAAACGCACCAATGACATCATAAATTTCTCAAACATATCATCATTACAATATGGATTACTTTTATGTTTGTTGGCAAATTCATCACTAGCATTTATGTCATAACCATTCAATGTAGCGACCATCGCCTCCGAGATGGCAATATTCAAAGCGACATCTTTTTGCGTCTTAATAATTGATAAAAATTTATCCAAATTGCGTTGTGTAAAGAATTCACCATCACCAATGGCCAAATATCCGAGACAGCGTGCTGAATCCTCACGCACGCGTGCACGCACCGAAACATTGCGCAACAGTGTATAAATGTTGTGATAAATTAAGAGCTTTGTTGAGGCTTTAGCAGCTGCAAAATTGTTAAGGATTTAAGATTAAAAAACAAAAATTAAAACAAAATACTGTATAATTTCTCAACTCACTCTCATATTCAACGTCATCATCATCATCATTTTTATCACTCGATACAGCCACCTGTATTTCAACTTCAACATTCGGTATTATAGCCATTTTGCCAATCATCGAGATACACTTGACAGCAGCAGCCACAAGTAACCACTGTGATTCGTGCATCATTTTGACTAAGAAAGAAAGAATTTTGTAAATACACGTATGTTTTATAAAATCTTAAATTTCACTCCCTTTACCTATTATTTTAACAGTTTCCACAAAAACTGACCATTCATTTAGTTGTTTAGTCGTCGAGTTCTTAGTTACCAATGGGATTTTGCGACTAAAGGCGTGTCCCAAAACCAGCATCCAGCCATGTTTATTTTCCAGAGACTTTTGTGGCAGCTCTTTAAGGCAGTCACTAATCTATAAATCATGAAATTATGTATTATAAAGCAACAAAATGCGAAAGAACTATATATATATATATATATATATAGACTTACTTGCGTATCGAACTCCTTATCCTTGAAACCGTAAGCTAAAAGTATGCCATAAACTTGCGCCACATTTATGCGCATTGTTTCAGAAACATCTTTCAAAGAGTTGGACAATGGTGTGAGTAAATGTATATGCGATTCGGTGAGAAGCTCAGGTGCTGCGTGTAATAAATCGTATAGGCAAAGCAAGTTGACTTCGGCTATTCGGAAAAGAATTTGGAAATAAATGTAATAATAAATGATAGGCATTAATGTGAGTTTTTAATGAAAAAATATATACAAGCACTCTTCACATCTAACAATTTTATATACTCTCTCATCTACTCACTTCTTTTAGCCTCCACAAAACGCTTTACAAACTGCACATATTGATATAATTCATTTTGTTCGCTCGCCTCATAGTTTTCTGCGATGTAAGCCTTTAACTTGGCCGCTGCCTTCTCATCACCAGGCGCTGCCCGTGCGCCAGCTGAATACCAGAGACAAATACGCAAATAATCGAGTATCTAAATAATATATAAAATTGTAGTTATTACAATAAATTTAAAAATGCACTATTTTATCCCTCTACCTCTTCATAGACATTCTGAGTGAATGCCAATTTAACATTGCTAATGGTCTCACAACCGTAATTCTTTAGCAAACGTCTCTCAGCCATTTGACTAACATGTTGCATGATTGATTTGAAACTTGGCAATATAATTGGACGACGCTCGGCGGATAATTGATTAAAATCGTCTTTTGGTTCTTCTACATATTCCACAGAATATACTAAATTGTAGTCAATGTGATCCTTCTTGGAAACACCATACAAATAAGTGGTGACGCTGTCGTGCAAATGATTACTATCGAAAAAAAAGAAGTTTTTATCAATATAACTCATTTTTTAACAAATTCTTTCGCAATAGCCTTACCGCTCGCCTGCAATAAGTAACAATAGAAGCCGCGCTGGCGCATAATATTCAGGATAGCATGTAGTCAGAAATACACTAGTCGCATTCTGCACGGCTTGCTGCTTTGATTCAACATTATCTGTTAGCATAGCTAAAAGCAAATGCTGTTGTCCACTCAATTGCACATTTTCCTCAAGGCTTCCTTCTGCATTTTCACGTTTTGGTGATTTCCAAGCAAATGATGGCGCCATAGCTACCAAAGCATCGCGTATGGATGATTGTATTTCAGGTGCATTTGCTAAATAATTGAAAAATGACAGCACCACTTTTAGATCTTGATTGACCACATCCGGACAAGTTCGTGCCAATTGCGCTAAGGCTGAATGTGCTGCAATTTGTACGTCGAAAGGTTCATTCGAATCACGCCCTCCAACTTTTATCAAACCAGTAAGTAGAACTTTTGCTACTTTGGAGACAATAACGATTGGACCACTACAAACGAAAATTGAATTTCTATTGGTTAAAGTATTTACGTAGGAAGCCATTATAAACTCACTCTTTAATAAGAATTTCGGCAAATTGCAACGCCAACACTTTACATTTCTGGTTCGAATTCACACCGAAGAGACCTTCGAATATCACTTGTATGCCTTTGGGTGCATTTATGCCCTTACCACGACACTTAATCAAGTACTGCAGTAATTTCTGACGCACACGTGCACAACAAGGTGTTGTCTTGCGTTCAACATCCTGACTATTATTACCACAGAATAGCGTATAGAGTGGTGCTGTTACTTGTGGATCACTGAAATCGATTGCCGTGCAAACTTTACTCAACTCGGCTATAGCTGGTGTGGCTACGCTAAAACGTGTATCGGATGATGCTAGAACGAGCAATATAAACGATTCGATGTCTTTGAAGAGACCGGCACAAATTAAACGCACTATGCCTTTTTTAATCTACAAACAGGGTAAATATTATGATTAAATGCTTTGTTGGCTTGTATATTGAGCATATATAAAAACCTTTTCTAGATCTTCAGCTTTCCAGTTACTAGAAGCAGCACGTTTAAAAGAATATGAGCTCATGCCAGGCGGAAGACCATCATAATCCAACGTAACACCATAGGGCAAGAGTAATACATCTTGTAGTAGTTGTAGAAAATTTTTACGTACCGTTGGTTTATCATTTAACTTTAAGACTTCATTTACACGAGCTGGATCAGCAGGTAACTTGATATCACCCAACATTGGCAAAACTAACATAAAAAGTCTAAGAGCCGTAAATTAATATTTATTTAGGAATAATACTAGTGAGTTCCAATTTCGGAATATTAAAAAAAATCGGTATTTAATATAGTATTAAATGTTAAATTTTTTTCAAAATGTATACTTACTTATCACGATAATTTTCCAATTTTTCCTCGCAAACCAACACCTTTGGCACAAGCGCACTTTGCTGTTCAATACTCAGACGTGGAAATCCCATTGTTATAAAGATTATGGCAAAATTGAGCAAAAAGGGTGAATTGCCAGCATTTGAATATTGATCGAGCAAAGCTTCAACGGGTATTTGCACAAGCGGACGTGAGGTGACGCGTCTCTTAATATGCGTCAGTACCTCAACCACCTATTTGGAAATGCACAACGAAAAATATGATTACTCATGCAGTCATTATAGAATTTAATTAATAATAAATAGTTTAACCTTTTTGCGTACTACATCGTGAGGTGAGGATATTTTCAATATCACCGGCGTTAAGAAGCGTCCAACAATAGCTTCCAACTTTTCATCGCTGTCGGCACAACCCAAACGCAATAGCACACGTTCTAATAATTCTGTGTTAATGTTAAGATCAATAAATATGTTATTTATAAAAATGTTTTTTCTTTAGTTTGCTTAAAATTTACATAATTATAAAAATAATTGGAAAATTATTTACCAATTTCTTCAGCTGGTGTTGATGACATTTTTTTATTTTATGCTTTAGTTGGTTATTCGCTGTCAAAAACTTTTCTGCGTTTGTCTTTTTTTTTTGTTTTGTTAAAAAAATTTATCGTCATATGTTTTGGTTGATGTTGCAAAATCTTCTTTTTATCAAAATTCAATTCACAATAAGCTCAATTTTAATGTTTTTCAGATATTCACAGAGAGAGAAATATTTTTAATCCAATATATATCAAAGAACGTATATTAATTATATATATAGTTAATAACGAAGAACGTATATGAATAAGAAGCGGCGAGACGATCTCGCAAATTGGCTTTTTCAGAAAGAGCGTAAATTTTGCTCAGGGTTTCGCGTCCTCTTCACACTATTCGTAGTTCGGAGGGGCAGAGAACGTAAATACAAATTTATTTACAAATTTACGTTCTCTGGGAGGGGCGATATGTTGAAGCGAAACCAATGGAGAACTTTTATTAATACACGTTCTTTTATTAGAGTAAAAAATGTACAGATATATTAAAATGTTGCTGTTTTAAATGAAATTCCAGCAATTCTAAAGATATGTATGTACGATTATTTTTATTTTTAATCATGTGCTTAATGATGAATTTAGTTTTTCCCTTTTTTTTTGGGAAATTATTATAGTTCAACAAATAGTGATCTGTAAATCTGTAAGTTAAAAATTAAGCGTTCTGGTAACATACAGCTTTCAGAATTTATTTAATACTATGCTCACCACGAAAGAAAACATATATTTCGAGACGTATTTAATTACATCTGTCTGCTCCTACACATTATAGAAACATTCATAGGCATAATTTCCCCGCAGTATAGCGTGTAATGCGTACCATAAGACAAAAGTTTTATCGATATTACAATAATAAACACAGACATGCATTCGTAACACAGACGTAACCCCAACCGTTTTGCGGTAAACAAAATAAAATAAAATAAAATAAAACAAAACAAAACAAAACAAAAAAAATAATATAAAATAGAATAAAATTAAATGAAATAAAATCAGAAATATTAAAATTAAAAAAAAATTTAAATATAAAAATGATGTTAAATATAAAAAAATTATATAAAAATTATATCAAAAAAAGAAAAAATATATAAAACGTATTATAATAAAGTAAAACAATTTAAAATAAAATGAAGTAAAATAATATAATTAAAATAAATACAAATAAAAACATTAAATTAAGTAAGAAATAAACAAACCAAATAAAAATTAAATTATATTTATCGAATTAAAATCAAAAATGAAATTACATAAAATGAAATTAAAATAAACAAAATTAAATGAAACCAAATAAAATTAATTATTTTAAAATAAATAATAACTCAAATTAAATATATTAAATAAAACATAAAAAAATAACAAAAAAATGAAATTAAATAAAATAAAATAATTTAAATTTAATATATAAAATAAAATGAAGTAAAAAAAAATTAAATAACATGTAGAAATAAAAATAAAGTAACGAAATAAAATAAAATAAATAAAACGAATAAAATAATAAAATACAATAAAATAAAATAAAATACAATAAAATAATTAAAAATTAAATTAATTATTAAATAAAACAATATAAACTAAAACAAATGAAAATAAAGGAAAATAAATTAATGAAATAAAATACTAATAAAATGAAAAATGTAAAGTAAAATTAAATAAAAAAATAGAAAAAAAATAATCTTAAATAAAAAAAATAATAATATTACGAAAAAGTTAAAATATTTTAATGCAATAAAATAAAACATAAAGTAAACAAAATGAAAAAAAAACATATAAATTAAGCGAAATAAATTAGAAAATGAATTAAAATAAATATAACAAAATAACCTAAAAAAAAAATAAAAAAAATTAAAATCAATTATGATAAATTGCTAAAAAAACAACAAAAAGAGAAAAATAAACTAATGTAAAATAAAATAACTTGAATTAAATTAAGTAAATTGCTAAAAGATCATGTAGAAGCTCCTAAGCAGGGAGCAGAGTGTATTTCAGACGTGAAATAGAGGCTGATCCTAAGAAAACCATCAGCTGTTCGAAGGTTAGTATAAACTGTAGGTCCCTCCATTAGTTGGAAAAACATCAAGACCCACAATACAGATCGGAGGAGGAGCTCGGCCGAAAAATCGCTTCAACGGTTACATTCATGATATATATATATATATGTATTTGATATGAAAAGAAGTAAAATAAAATAACACAGCTAAAGTACATAAAAATGAAGTAAAATAAAATAAAGAAGGAAAAAGAAAATTAAGGAAAATAAATAAGAATCAAAATAAAACAACATTAGTTAATTTAAGCTAAATTCAACCAATAAAATGAAATAAAATAAATAATAAATAAAACAAGTTAAATTAAATTCATAATTTTATTCAATTAAATTAAAAATTAATTGAAATAGTTAAAAAAAGTAATAAAAGTATAGTAGGAAGTTAATTTAAAATAGAATTAAATAGTGTTAAATAAAATAATGTGAAATAAAATAAAATAAACGAACTAAAATAAAATGGTATGAAATTAAACAAATTAAAAGAAACTGAAATAAAGAAAAAACCATTGATAAACACACATTTTTTGTACACCTAAGAATATATCTAATTCGAAAATGTGTTAAATCATTTTTACATACATATATATGCTTATACAAAAACAGGACCTCATTCCTGTCGTTAAAGACATCCACACATATGTACATACATGCATGTCCACAAAATACGCTTACATTGTCATTTACTCGCACATAAACTTCCTTATATACATATGTATGTGTGTACATACATACATATAAATATATTTATTTTATATGACCATATATTTATGTATATCTCATAGTTATGTACAGACATATATTCCTGCAACTTTAGCTACGCAATGCACCGTTTTTCGACACAAACACGCATATAAATCCATATATACACAGCAGCTCTGACTCTCTCGTCATTTCACGCTATCAGCTATGCCCTATTCAACCGTTTCAAATTTTGCAGAACCGTTTGGCGCTCGCATGCGAACTTTTTGCGCCAACATTTGTTGCTTTCGCAGTCCAGTCCAATCACCCACCACCACCACCACCACTACTACAACCACCGTTCCAGCCACACAGCATGTGATTGTTTGAGGTCGTGCCACCCAGCTACATGAAACTGAACGAAATTCCAGTACAAGCTTACCTACTTTAGCTTTCCTTGCTTGCTTTTACTTGCTGTTGTCTCTCTTATGCTGTTTCGTTGTCTGCATTTTTTTTATGCGTCACTTTTATAGTGTTCAGTATCTGTTTGGTTCCTTTTATTATCATTTCATGACATTACTGTGTCGCAGTTTCGCTCTTCTAAAATGCCATGCTCGCTCTCTCGCTTCTAGTCAATCTCTCCCGACAATCGGCCTTGCTGAGCTCGTTTCGCTGCCGCCGCCGCCGCTGCCGCCGCCTAACTTGGCCATGAGAATGTAGTCCATAGTTTTCTATATATGTATGTATGTACATATGTATGTTTGTATACCACGTTACATGTTTAACTCGGTAGCGTAAAGGCGAAATGGCCCGTTCCGCGGCGATCTAAGAAGAGAATGCATACATACATACATAAATAGTTGTTATGTGTATATAATAAAATATGTAGTTGTATACGTACATAAATGCTCGTAGATATGTAAAACATGTGCGCTTACATTTTTCTGGTCATGTTTTATTATCAGCATTGCAGGGCTTTTTGTACATACATATGTACATATTTACATATATTTATACGTTGCGGCCCATCTCTGCAGCAAATCATGCCTGCGGTAAAAGGCAACTTGTCTACTTACAACATGCTCAAGCTAAAATATACATGCATACATACATGCATACATACATACATACATACATCCATACAAACAAACATACTTTCTCGGCATGTACATGTTTTACGTATAAATATATATATACTATACATGTACATATGTACGCTATACATTAATAACAACTTGTATGCGCATATTTTACTGCTTATGCCTGTGTATGTGTGCGTGTGTGTGTGTGTTTGTGAGCAGTTATTTATGTAGCTTTTATATTTTAATACTTATGTGCAGCCTTCATGGCCTTTTCTACATACTTCTGCTATTGCCTTCGCACCTGCTACTCCTTCCTCTCTGCTGCCACAGGTGCTGCTGGCTGCTTCTGCTGCTGTGGCGCTGTAAACCTGCTGAGCATTTACTTGTTGCTTTTTCATACAATGTGGTTTTGCAACCATGATTATAACCTCCAAGCTAGCACATACACATATACATACAACACATCAAGGCGTTTTGCATTAAGCAAATAAAAAAAAATAAATTAAAAAAAAATTGAAAAAAACTATAAGTAGATAAATACATATGTATGTATGTATATTTATATATTTCTACTTTGAGTCCTTATGCAAATTTAGTATGTACATACATATATAATATACACTTTTCCCGAAGTGTATTAAACAAACATGCCTACACACACACACACACACACATGTACGCATATATAATATTTATTATGCAGCTTAGCCTTCCAAAAGTCGATCTATTTCTATAAATGTATTCAAGGAAACTACTAACGTGAATGAAAGCCACTCCTAAATTCTAAGCGGATATGTATGTGCATACATACATACGTATTTATAGTGTTGGAATTTTAGCTATTTTTTTGTACCAAAAACAGGATTTGTAGGAATTTTCTGTTATTTTATTTTTTCTCTCTAAGAAATTGAAATAATATAAATAAAGCATTATGAAATGAAAATTCTACAACGATAAAGGATTATTGTAAGTTGTTGGTTTTTACTTTTATCGTTTTTTTTATTTATTTTTATTTTATTTTTTTATTTCCTCTTTGTAAGCTAGCTGCACACTTTTGCGTGTTTAATGGCAATTACACAACTGGAAAGCGGTGCATGCAATGTGGTCGTCGGGGCGTATGAGTAACATTTTTTACATATCATTATTACATTATTTGCGCTTGGGGAATGTAATGAGCGATGTTAAGTAAA